TTACTTAATAAACAATAAACTCTTTTTTTGGTCCTTCAGATACCTCTTGAATGGTGTGTACCATACCATTCTACATTTTTATCCTAATAGTACTAATTTCAATAATATTTAAGGCATGATTGTCTCTCATGAAGACAAACCCTCCCGAGATAGGTTCATAAGTATAAAACCGATCTTAATATGCAGTCATATGCTAAGTTGCACTCTAATATACTATCCACCCATACATTTAGAGTTGTTAATTAAAACGTCTCCATACCAACAACACAATCGTGTAAGGTTGATACTTCAAAATTGTTTCCTTCATTCCTCTTAAGCGAATGATTTTGTTCGCATGTTCTTTCTTGTCACAATAATAACATATGAAGCTTTTCCTTTCTCGAGAATTTGATCCACCATTATTTTTTCATGTTCTATTGATCTACATCTTATTATCATTAAAAACTATACTTCATTCAAACTTTCTACTTTACTCTTTTGAAGAATAATAACTTTCATAACATCTTCAAAATATAAAATGTCATTAATGAATTTAATAAAATATATTAAAATGATAAAATGTTTAATTTGAGATGAAATATTTATAAAACTTAAAAAAAATAATTATAAAAGAAAAAAATCTCAAACAAAATTCATAAATTGTACATTTTAAGTTTAAAATATGATAGAACAAGTTTCTCTTTTAAATAAATAATTAATAATCTTATTTATTAATTTATGAATTTTAATCTCTTTATTTTAAAATTTGATTAATTAATATTTAAATTTTAAAAATATGTGAATCAATAAAAAATTATTAAATTTAAATACTACTTTTAGATATAAAAAAAATATTAAAACCACATATCATATTTTTTTTATTAATTTAGTAACGATAAAAAATAATTACTAATTAAATTAGTAGACAAATATTAATATATAGGATATTTTTGAAAAGTTAGTTTTTAAATTCAACAATTTAAAAAGTATAAGAATAAAATAAAAATTTGAAAAAAAAAACTAAAACTATTTTTTTAAATATAATACCTGTTTAATTTTTATACAAATTATAAAAATAAATAAATAAATAATTTTAAAAAAATTATCTTAAAATTAGCTTATTATAATACTAATTATATTCCACTATGTTATATAATATAGATTATATTAAGTTATTATCATATTTATGTTTAGAAAAACAAAATAGCTGAGAATTAGATAAACGTAAATTTGTATCTCTGAATAAATAGTAAGATAAATGATTATTATAGAAGTACAACATTAGCTCTACAAAGACATTTCCACTAAGTTGCTTCTTATTTAAAAAAAATGTAAAAGAAGAATTTATGATGCTATATCATTTTTAAGCAATAATATTAATTTTTTTTTTAATTTAAAAAAATTCATTCACTCTCCTATTCTCTTTTTTTGTTTACTTTGATTTGTTTATTTTTGTAAGTTGATTGATAAAAAAAAAATTAAACACTTATCATGTCACATAGAATTCCTCCAAAGAAAAATTACTTCAAACAACTAATATTTTATTTAAATATCTCAATAATAAACTCTCATTATCTAAGTTAAGATTATATTATGTAAAGAATTTTTTATAATTAATTTATATTATTGTTTATATAGTTATATTATCTTTTATCAAATAAAAAAAATAATATAAACAAATAGTTTTGGGAAATAAGGTGTTATAAAAATTTAGATAGACAATATATTTACTTATATAAATATATATATATATATATATATATATATATATATATGATAAAAAAATAATATGAAATTAATTTTATAATTTTTCTGATACATGTTTCACAAGTAGTTGGTCAACTTTATGTTGAAATTGATTAAAAGAAATAAAAAGTTTAATATATAAGAATAATTAAAATTATAATTGAAAAATGTAACTTAATTTAGTTTATTATAACTGATAATAGTTATGGTGTTTATGACCAAAAGTAAATGCATATGAAGATGTTGTAGAAAAAATTTCTAAATAGAACATATCTTTTGTAAACTCATATCATATAAGTGCAAGCGTATGATAAATATATTTTCAAAATTCTAAAATTCATTTAACCTATATTTGATATTAAGGAAAACTAATTTTTTTAATTTATCATATTAAAAATTAAACAATTATAATTTATAAAATTATTCATATTTATTTTTATAAAAGAGTAGAGAAAAATATTTTTTAAAGTATAAAATAAAACGTTTATCACTTTTATATTTTTTTCATTTTTATTATTAAATAAAAAAAATATTTATCATTTATTTTTCGATAAATTACTTTTGACTTTATATTTTCCTTTTAAATAAACTTAGAGTTTATATGTGATAAGATGATTTTCATTAATACGTCACATATCATAGCTTTTTATTTTTTGGATTCTAATTTTTAAATCAAGCTTATTTAATGATTTGGATTAATAATTAATTAATTATACTTAATATTTTATCTAAGTCTGTTTATTGAGTTTAACTAATATTTTATTGGAGTGTATTTATTGAGTTCAATTAATATTTTATTAAATTTATTTATTGATTTATTAATGTTTTATTTAAGTTTATTTATTGATTTCAATTAATATTTTATTTAATTTTACGTTTTTAATATATAACTTCATTTATTTATTACAATTAATATTTATTTTGTTTATTATTTTATTTTAAATATTGTTTACGTTTCTTGATTATGTTAATTTAAACTTTTTCTTTAAGTTTTCATTTTCTTTTAATTAAAATATTTATTTTGTTATTAAATTTATTTATTATAGTATTTATTTCTAACTTAATTAATTGATTTTAATAATTCATTTAAATTACATTGGATGTTAATATTTGTTATTTAGTTTTATTTATTTATTTTAACATACCACGTGAGACATATTTCGATTTTCTTTAGAAAGTAAAAGACTAACCTTGAAACCACGTGTACCAACAATTGTGTTTAGTAAAATGTTCCTAAATATATATATATATATATATATATATATATATATATATATATATATATATATATATATATATGTAAATAAATAATAAGTATTTAAAATTTTATATTTAAAACAATTTCTAACTGTTCATAATTTGAAAATATTTACACTAATTAAACCAAATAGTATCGATTATTCTCTAATTAAATTAGCCAACGTTTGATAATCAATCACTCTTTAAAATAATTTGAATTAAATATCTATCTTAATCATTTTTAAAAATAAATTTAATTTTTTATTTTTTAACGTATTGAATATTAATACTTTTGAAAAACTTAAATAGTTTTATAACATTACTTAAATACTTATGTTAGAAAGAAAAAAACTTAGCCACATCCTTTGACCAAATGCTATTTCATATATATAAATTATATTAAAAACTTAAATAGATATAAATGAAATTTAAATATTTAATTTGTACCACAATAAAGCAAGCGTTTTTATCCTACATAAAAAATAAATAAATTAATCGTTTTTTCATAATCTCCGTTATAGTTATGTAATATCTTTGGATATTACAAAATGGTTTATCAGTGTGTTAGTGATAAATTACATACGTTTTATATAATAAAAAGTTTTGTTAAATAATTTATTACATTAAAATTTTAAACTGGTGTAGTATTCTGATTTAGGCTTATGTAACGTGGAACTTCTTTACTTGCAAACTCTTTCTGTTTATTTATTTATTCTTCGTTTAATATCAATTATTTATTTGGTATCTTTAATTAAATAAAACTAAACTTTTAGTTCTTATCCTTAAAAAAAATAATTTCATTATTATGTATGTTATTTTTAATCTCTACATTTAAACATTAAAGATAAAAACAAAATTAAAAAATCAAATATTAAAATTATATATTTTTTAAAATATAAAGACTAAGAGATAAAGTTAGTATAACTAGGGAGAGCGAATGAGTAATTTTTTTTACTTCAGGATTTTTCACCTTATGAAAGAAATGATTAATTAAGAATTAAGGCTGATTATATAATTTGTTTTTACTTTTGATCCTGATTTGTTATGATTATTATTATTTTTTTTACATTTTCTCAAGAAAGAATACACTTATTTTCACGAAAAAAAATTATTTATTTTGTTTTATATTAAGTTATTGAAAAAATGAAATGATTTTTCTCAAAAAAAGAATAAAACGTTTTTTATTCTAAAACTTGAAACCTATTTAAGAATTTCTATACTAAAAAAGAAAAAAATGTATTATTATTTTTTATAGCAGAAAAGTATTATTATTTTTTCAATATTAAAGCTACTAATATTTGAAAACATTTTTCTATAATTTTTAATTCATCATGATTTTAAGAGACAGAAACATTTTCCAAAAATAATAAATTAATGCCATATTAAAACTAATGAATATTTTACTAGTTAAATAATATATAGGAAAAAATCTGCTTAATATATTATAAAACATTAATTTTTAATACCTGGCAATTAAAATTTTATTGCCAATAAATAAAAACATTTAATATTTATTTATTTTATTTTTATAATCCACGAGATTCCTTCTTTTACCCTATATTAATTAAAAATAAAAAGAAAATCAAATACAATACGAAATAATAATAACAAGTAATAATTTTATTTTGTCCTTTTTAATCTCAAAATAAAAATCCCAGCAGCAAGGTATATTTATAACATATGTAAACAAAAATAAGAGTTCATCTCCTATTTTCTTCATTTATAAATTCACATGAAAAATAAAAGCTTAGAAAGTGGGTGTACGAACAGTTACATTCATATTTTCAGGAAAAGACATGAGAAAATCCAAATCTCTTAAGTGAAGAAACAGTTTCTGAAAACAGAGCCTCAAAAACTGGTTTTTCTTTTCTTCTGGCCCTTCTTCATTGTGCTGTCTGTTCTAACACCTTCACCATTATTACATTTTCCTTCTTCTCATTATTATTCTTCTTCTTCCTCACCCACAAGAAAATTTGTTACCTTTGTTAGCTTTTAAGTTCACAATCTTAAAGGGTGTCCATAACTCTATCTATTTCATGGAGCAACAGAATCTTTTGGACACTGATCAGTTTTTGACTCTGGGCCCCACATCTGACGAGCCACACAGTCCTAAGGAAGGAGGTACGCATGTCAACGCCGCCGCCGATAGCAACAACAACGACAAAGATGTTGTTAGCGCAGTTAATGTTGGAATTGGTCCTGGTTCTGGTTCGGAGCTTGTTGTGGCCGTAGAAAATTCCGAGGCTGCTGCAGGTTCGGGAGTGGTGGTGAAGAGAGGAAGGGGAAGGCCTCGGAAGCACGAGGCGGTCGGGAGCATGGTGTCTCCCTTGGCGGCGGTGGTGCAGCTGCCGGGATTTTCTGATCAGATCAAGAGAGGCAGGGGACGCCCTCGTGGCTCTGGGAAACTGCAGGTTATAGCTTCCATTGGTGAGTGTTCTTGTTATTTGTTTATATTTGTATTTTTTTTCTTTGTTGTGTTACCAGTCCTTGTTCCACCATTGTTTTATATAGGATTACACAAGAAATTTTTAGAGATTTTTTTTTTTTTTTCAACTGAGAACACTGTAGAATTCTTCCAACCTTGATTTCAGAGAGTTAAAAAAGAACGAAGAAATGGATTTAAAGAGAGAATGAAATACAAAATTAAATAATATTATTTATTATTATTTTAATACTTTTATATATTTTTAATGATATATAATAATAATAATAAATAAATAAATAATTTAATAAAACAATTCAGACATAATATATCCCAACTAATACTATTATTTATTATTATTATTTTAATAATATATTATTATAATAATAAATAAAAAAATGAAATATTTAGTAACAATTCAGACATAATATACCAAATGAATACTATCATTTATTATTATTATTATTATTAATATTTTAATACTTTTATATATTTTAATTATATATTATTATAATAATAAATAAATAAAATAAAACATTTAATAAAATATTCAGAATAATATACCCAAACGAATACTATTTATTTATTTATTTATTATTATTATTTTAATACATTCATATATTTTTAATTATATATTATTATGATGATAAATAAATAAAACAAAACATTCAGTAAAACAATTCAGACATAGTATACCCAGACGAGTACTCGCTAAGATAGTTTATACCTTTGGTGTTTGATACGTACTAGTCCTTTGATTTATATTTTTATACTTTAAAATAAATTATAATTTTTGGTATAGTCAAATTAATTTTGAGTTTATTAAAAATTAAAAATATAATATTTATATAAAAAAATTTATTTAAAAAATTTAATTTAAATAAAAAATAATTTTTTAAATATAATTATATTAATAAAATTAATTTTGATTATAAATATAATAATTTAATATATAAATTATAAAAAAATATTTATGATAAGGATTAAAATTTTATTTTTTATTATTATAAAATTAATATAATATTTTATTTTAATTTTTAGTGATAATATTATTTTTATTTATTTTAAAAATAATAATTATTTTATAAAATTATTCGTCCATAAGAATAGACCTAAGTAGATATAGATCATTGTTAAAAAAATCACATCAAAATTAAATCTGATTTGATTTAAAGTAAAAAAATTTATTTTACCTGTGGTGCATTATATTTCTACAGCCCTTATTTTTTTTTGTTTCATAAGAATTTTATTTTAATCTAAACAGAGAAGAATTTATCTCCACATGATTATTGTGAAAAAATTGTTTTCTGCTGACACATGGTATTTTTTTTAAACAGAATAAACAGGTTAAATATGTTTGCTGAAATTAAACTATGTATTTTTTAAAATTCACATTTCTGATCCTTTAAATGAAGATGCATTGCAAAGATAAATAAATGCATATTTTAACATTTTACTCATTTGTATCTTTTAGAGGTTATTTATCTTATTAATCAATTTGAAAAAAAGAATGAAACAAATTTTTAAAATTTTGATTTTTAAAATACTTGTATAAATCATAAATAATAGTTATTATAACTGTAGGTTGACTTTGTTATAATATACTCTAACCTATGGAATAGATAATGGTATCACCTTCTTTGTAAAATTATTTAAATATTGAGGTAATTAAATTAATTTTTATTAAAAAATTGAATTTATATATTTTAAATAATTTTTTTATCTTTTAAACTCTTAAAAAAAATTATGTTATTAAAATTAAATCAAACACATCATATTTAAATTTGTGTTTTGGACTTATATATATATATATATATATATATATATATATATATATATATATATATATTTTTTTTTTTTTTTTTTTACTAAAATAATTTTCCCTTTGTGGATATTTGTGGGTATGAACAAATTTTTTATAAACCTGAGATTTCAAAGGAATTAGATGTAAATTGACGAATAAAGTCACCAAGTAATAATACACTAAGTCCAAGGTTAACTTCAAAAAGTACCATGAAAAATTAAACCACTGTCGATTTCAGATAGTTTTTGATTGTTATGATAATTTTTTTTATATGGACAAATCCAAATGAAACTTATTAATGCTGATATGGATTAAAGTTGCTACATTTTGGACGTAGTTTTATTCCTGAAGCAACGAGTTTTCCTTCACAACTTTTTTGTATTGGAGTGAACATTTTTATATTGAAGTTCAAAAAATACTTCTACAGATTTAAACTAAACATGTACTTGAACTCTCTTTATTTTGTTGCTATGACCACCAGTTCTTAAGGAAAACAAATCACAATCTCATGTTCCATTTTCTCCTATTTTTTAAACATTCCATGCATAAAATGTTTTGCTATGTTTCTCATTCTTGAAACTTTATCTGTCACAGGTGGGTTTATGGCAGAAACAGCTGGGGGAAGCTTCATACCTCACGTGCTGACAGTGCAAGTTGGAGAGGTAATAAAAAGAATTGTTCATGTTTCAGATTTGTGTTAGTTTGATAGAACTATTCTATAAATGTGTGGTATGAACTGATAATAGCATGTTTTTGGTAAATTTCAGAATTTGGTAGGCACAATAATGTCATTTTTTGAGAAAGGCCCTCTATCAGTTTGCTTACTTTCTGCTACTGGTGCTGTTTCAAATGTGACCATTCGCCAACATGCTGGTTCTAATCATATCATGAGATTTGAGGTACAACAGAATAGTATTCATATATATGGATCTTTCCCTGCTATCTGTTTCACTTGATGTCAAAGTTTTGCACTGTGTTGCAAGATTTATGTAGATTTTGAGTTAAGGAAAAAGGAAAACAGAGATACACATAACAAATATATCAGTGTCACTTCTTCTGTGTGTGTTGTATTTCATTTTCTGATATTCTTTTTTCAAATTAATTTTGCTACACACAGGGTACCTTTGAGATATTGTCTTTATCAGGAGCTTGTACCTACGTTAGTGGCACTAATGGTCCAGTTCGTAGAAGTGGATCATTAAGCATTTCAATGGCTAAACCTGATGGGAATGTTTTGGGAGGTGTCCTTGAGAGTGCATTGGTAGCAGCTTGCCCTATTCAAGTAAGAATTTTATAGAATGTTTTGTTAATGAATACTGGAGTGTATCACTTGTTATTCTTATTTTTATAATTCATTGTACTTTTGGTGATTTTTAGTCTTGAAGGGACAATTAATTAATTAATTAATTGTGTTTGTGTGACTTGTGTGCATCAGCTTGTTATGGCCACTTTCAAGCAAAACACCAATAGCCAACTGAAGAGAAAACAATTGTTTGAATCTTGTGATGTCCCCCTTATGCTGGAAAGTTCAGATTCAGAAAGGGGTAAAATGAAAGTTGCAAAGTGGACAGAAAGTGAGAAGAGTTGTCCATCACCACCACCAACAGGACTTGAACCAACAACAAAAACTAATTGCATAGCAGATAGTGTCATTACTCCACACAGTATGCACTCTGCATGTGTTATTGGTGCTGATATGGACAATCAGGCCCCGCAGTCCGCATCAGATGATTCAGACCAAAAGAATTCTGCAGATGTGAATGCAAGTGCTATAGATCTGTAATACCCTCTTTGTAGTTTTCAACGTGGAGATTAAGTTTCATGTTCTCTTGTTCATGCCGGTAGTTAACTATTTTTAGTGTATGACTTTGTGAAAAATTGTTTATCTAGTTTTGGTTAGGTGTTGTAACTCAAAAGGAATAACTTCTTTTTTATTAATGTGAGATAGTTTCTTAAAATGAGTGATCGTTTGTCCCAACCTTGTCATATATTATATAACTAATCTCGTAATTATTTTTGGGTCAAGAAATCATTTTGAGTGATTTCAACTTAGGGAAATCTATTCATTCTTTGTGAAGATGGATTCAGGAAGAACTTAAGATGCGTAACATGTTAGAAAGACATGAAATTTATTTTTAACACTTCGGAACTTAAGGATCGTATTCATTCACGATTGTCATGCTTGTTAGCTTGAGAATTATGATGACATTTTATCATTTTCATATTCCAATTATAAAATTGGGATTTTCAGTTTTTTTTTTTTCTTTTTTTTTCTTTTGAATGATGTGTGATAGTTATATTTTAATTAAAATATGATAGGCCACTCTTTAACTTCAACGTATAAGAGTATTGACTAATTTACAGCAAAGAAATTCAGTTTCTTAAACTTACTACGATTTATCTACCTCAACTGTTATAAAATAATTTAAAATTATATTGATTATGAAAATAATTTTATTAATTACTTATTAATTATTTTTACACTTACAAATACATTTAATGTGATTTTATGTTGACTTTCATCATTATTTTACATTTTTATTCAAATATGGAGTGGAAACATAAATAAATAATAAAAATTAGATTTTTTAAAATTGAAAAAACAAATTAATTATATTAGAAAGGAAAATAAATATATTTAGTTTTAAATACATTTATTTATTATAATATATATATATATATATATATATATATATATATATATATATATATATATTGAAGCATAATTAATTATATTCCTATTCATTTTATCTATATGAAAGAAAAGAGAAAAAATAAATTTGTTATTAATAAACTATTTTTTAATATGTTATTTTCAATACTCTTTCCGCGAATCCTTCCTCTCCCTCCTCCTTTCTTGATTCAAATAGAACATAAAAAAAATTCTTAATATTTTTCATCAGTTATAAGTAACTTATTAAAATAAGTTTAAGAAGATAATGTAACATATTTTAAAAACGTAGGATTTATAATATGTTAGGACATATGCAAGAAGAATAATTCAAGTGAATTATTTCTTATTTTAAAAAAATTATAAAATATAAATTTATGATGTCATTTTATTTTTTAAGTAGATTATCATTAATTTTATTTTACTAAAATTTTTTCTTAATAAATTTTAAAAAACTTAATTTTTTTCTTTTCTTTTCATTTATTTTATTTTATTTATTTTTGAAGTTACTTAATAGAATAATTATTAAAAAAAAATTAAATAATTTACCATACTACATAAAATTCTTCCAATACAATGAAAAATTGCTTATGTTGAATATCACTGACATCTATGATTTCTTAAAATAAATATTTCATTAAAATCAATTTACCTGACACACTCTATTTCTTCATTTTTAAATTTGTTTTTAAATGTAAAAACTTATTCCTTCTAAACAAACATAGAAACCACAAATTACATGAGCTATTTTGAAGTTTCTTCAAATGATAATAAATAAATTATTTAACAATAATATAACATAATAAAGATAATATAATATAATATAATATATTTTTCATATATAGTATAAAATAATTTATATGAGTTGTTTCTATCATAAAACTCAATTATCATTTAAACACGATTTATTCGTAATATAAAATAAAAAAATAGTTTATTTCCAAAAAAAGCATAATAGTTATGATCTAATTGCATTTGGTTAAAGTGTTACACACTTCCTTAAAGGCGTAATTCATTCTTTGATTTATTTTTCATTATTTTTTTTATTAGAGCAAAAGCGTGAAATAAGTAAGCATCATCCATTTACTTTAAATCATACAATATAATAAATTTTAAAAAATAAAGACTTAAATATGTATTTAAAATTAGTAAAATAAGTGAATTTTAATTTGTATATTTTTCATCCTTCTAAATTTAAAATTATTATTTTTAGATTTTATAAAATGAATGATTTTTTTAAGTCTCTATATATATTTTTAATTTTCCAAATATATAGTTAAAATGATTTATATGTGAATAAATATTTACAGATTTTTAAAATTAATTGAAAACTAAAACTATAAATACTCCAAAATATTTTTTATCAATCAAATCAAATTAAATAAAAAATTATATAAATATTATATTGACCTTACCACTCTGACAGAGATACCCATGACAGATTAAGTAGGTTGGATGTTTTAACAGAAAATAAATTCGACCAAAATTTGGTAATCCATGATGATGTTTTGTTTTTAAAAGAACATTTTTTTTATTACTATTATTAATTTTATTCATATGGATTAGGGAGTTGTTTGTTGAATCTAGACTTGTGTTATAATTAAGAATTTATTTTCAATATTCATTATTTTTATAATGATGAAGCTTTAAACTTTAGATTATATAATTATATTAGATTGAATTTTATTTGTTATTTCATATGACAGGATTTTATTATAACTTAAACTAAATTTATCAAATTATATTAGACATAATATATAATAATAATGTTTTTACCAAGATTAATATTAAAATCTACTCATTTTTCCATACTAAAAGTGTGCAATAGTCATAAATTGAAATAACACATTAATTGGTTTTAAACTTTGAAGAACATTAATGGGAAGAAAATATGATACGAATTGAGCAACCAGATTTCATTGGATGTTCCAATGTGATCATACATTGGCAAATAATCGATAATTTTTGGCATCAAGAACTATCTGTCTAACTGCTGCAACTGCTGCTATAGCTCCCAATGCAGAGAATGCCACAGCAATAGTTACATTCAACCAGAAAATGGGGCTTCGCTTAGATGGCTTAAATGTGAAATTGTAGAAAATCACTGGCAAGATGAAATCAAGAGGGATAAAGCCAAAAGCTCCAATAAGAGAGTTTATGTCTCCAAAAAATGGAAGCATGGCTGCAATAGTGGTTGCAATAGTAATAGCTAGTGATCTAGAAATCACTCTGGGGATTACATTGCGATTGGAGAACTCTGGGCTTTTTGGGTCTCCAAATGTTTGCTCCAGCACTTCATTTGTTGGTTGCAAATAAACCTGCATTATGATTCAATGGTTATTTTGGTTCAGATGAAAGATATTAAGGCTTAATTAAATGGATAGTATTTTAAGTTCTTCATATAAAGCATCGTAAAAAAGAATAAATATGTAGGACAAATTTTAAGGTTTAACTGAACTGAGATATGCCCCTTACCACACCAACTGCTGATAATTGTGCTATGGTGAAAATGTTGGTCATGTAAATGAACCATTTGGGCACCAGAGGACGCCCATTGTCCACAAAATTGCTTAAGATGAGGCCTTCAGATTCATTGCCAAATGCCCAATAACCAGACACAGATACGCTAAAGAAAGTGACTATAAGAACAAGATAGCAAATACATAGTCCCTTGAACATCTTCCCTTTTACTGGTGGTGCTAGTGTTGCCTAAAACCACAGAAGAAAAATGCAGTGAAGCAAGTAAAAATGAAAGAAAATGGGGTTGTTTTTCAACTGCAATGATTAACTGTTATACTGGACCTGAATTTCTGGAATGATTCCATTTCCATAGGTCGTGGCAATGATGGCAATTGCATTGAACATTCCAAATAAGCGATTCTCAGTGTCACCTTTCAGAGAGTAGTCCTTTTCTGGTCCTTTGGATGATTCTCCTGTAACAATATTGTAAATTCCAAACCAGAAAAGGTTCAATCCAATTGCCAAGTGAAAACTGCTAAATTACCAAAAGAAGAAAAAAGGAGATAGAGAAATTGAGAAATTACCAATGTATATGGAACCAGCAGTAGCAGCAGCACTATAGGCTAAGCAGAGAATCAAAGAGACTAGATTAATGTGCCTCAATGAGTGGAAAGATGGGATTTGAGCCAAAATTAGCATGAAGCATCCAAATATGATCACAAACTCGTAAAGCTTCATGGTCCCGTTTGGATTAGACAGCAAGTAAATTGCCTGCATTTCATGAATTTGATTTTTGTAAAGGAACAGTACAGAACATGTGTTGAAATTCTAAGTTGAAAAAAAACAATGTTTTGATATCGTTAGAGTTATCATCTTAGAAAATACTGAAAAATTTCATCACATTTTCATGACTACAGAATATTAATTAATTAAAGCATAATGATATGAAATCGTAGAGTATACTTTTTTACTTGAATGGAGATAAATAAGTGGGATGAATAGTTGATGATAACCTTCATGCATTGTCCTCCTAAGAGAGTGCAAGCTACAACAGCACCGTAACAAACAGCAAACTGAATTGGCCCAACAAAATAACGACCCCACCGTGGACCTGGTAGTAAGAAGTAGGGAACAAAAAATATTATATCAATTTTTAAATAGTTAGAATTAAAATAAATTAGGAAGAATTAGAAGAGGAAAATAAACTTTTATTAGCTTTTTTTAAGTCTACTTATTTTGAAAAATAAGTGAAAAAATAAAATTTAAATACATAAAAAATATTATTTTTAAAAAGTAAATATAAATATAACTCAATTTAAAAAAAATGTTGATAAAGTGAGATTCAAACCTCGTTGATATATTATAATTTAAATATTTTTCTAGTTAATTTAATTTTAATATATATATATATATATATATATATATATATATATATATATTTCAATTAAGTCATTTTAAACATAATCATTGCCTTGTCTTTGCTTCCTACTTAATATTTTCATTACTCTCATTTTTTTCATTTCATTCTCTCCTCCTTGCTTTTTGACTACAGTTTTATAAAAACAAACACACTCCGTATCACTTTGTTTAGACGAGTTAAAATTCATTTTTATGTATAAACTAAAATGATTAATTAAGAATATTTTAAAGGTCTATTTTTTAATAAAAGTGTTTTTAATTTTTTCTTCAGTAAGTTTTTGGAATTTTTTTCTTAATCTCTTATATCCTTCCATTTTTTTTAATATTTTAAAAATAATTTGTAATTAGAAACAACTTGTGTCATATAATATAAATTATTTTTCACAAAATCTGTTTTTTTTTTCATTTTTAAAAATATTTATATATTATAATCTACATTTTATATTAAAATGATCTATTAAAATAAACATCTATCTACTACTAATAAGTAAAGAAATAAACAATTTGAATAAAGACAACTTTAATCTTAATTATAACTGAAAAATAAATGAAAAAAAGTGAAGGTGTTAGGTTTGAAAATATTCCGTATATTTTTTTGAACTAGTCATCTTTAAAAATTAAAGATAATATATTTTTTCATATATACCCTTATTCTTAATCTAATTTTTAATTTATGTGTTTATCTTAATATAAAAAATTATTAAAATAAAAAAATATTTATAAATATTTTATTACTTAATATGAGGAAATCTCTTCGTAAAAGAGATTTTTAATAGGCTCCATCTCGACACAAATAATTTTGGTTTAATTATATTTTAATTCATAAAATTTGAAATAAATATTTTTTAATAATTTGAATTAAAAAAATTTAAATTTCTCACATTTGAAAAAAAAAATTAATTTCTAAATACTAAATTAAAAAAAACACATATAAATAACTTGAAAAAATTATTTTAACCTCTTAAATTTAATATTTAAGAACTATAAATTATATTTTTCTTTTTTAACATTTAAAATGTCCACATAGTATTCTGCTATTCTGAGACATCACAGATGAGATTGCCAATCTCTCTCCCAAACGTCTCTTGTCTCCATTTTTTCCTCACCCCAATAATGCACTCATTCAAAGCGTGCATAAAACTTACTTACCAAACAGTGCGTTGTATCTCTAGGTTAAATATAATCTTGCTAAACCTTAATTTGATCCTTCATGATTACATGTTTCATCATAACAATTTTTTAAAATTTTGGTTCATCAAAATATTTTTAAATGTTAATCTTATTATAACTTAAAAAATCATCAAATTAGAGTGAATATGCAATTAAATTAGTTCACTTCTTTCTTTTTACTTCGACAGACTAATTTATTTATGAATTTAATGTCTAAAATATAAATTTGATGAGAAATCTTTAATTACTCTATGCTGAATTTTTTTAAAAGAGAGTAATTTTAAGACGAAGAAGTAAAAAATAATTAAATTAAAAATAATATTTTTTTTAAAGGATGTGAAATATAGTTTGGCGAAATTTTGTTTATTTGTGTATTTTCTTCTAGATGACTCCATGTGACTTTTAAATTATATTTTTAAATCATATTATAACTAGGGGTGTGAAGATGGGTTCTAACTATGAGCCAAACCAGTTCACCACGGGTTCGAACCGGGTTGGGTTTGGTTTTTGTTATTTTTACTTATTATGGACTAAAAATGAACCCTAGCTCACTTAATTTACTGATTAAACGGGTTCGGTCGGGTTATGATGGGTTGACCCACAATCCACCATTAATTTTTAAATTTTAAAAATAATTATAATAATATATTAACTCTAATTAATCATTTATTTTAAATTTTAAAAATAATTATAATACTTTAGTAACCCTAATTGATGTTATCCTGTTTTACCTTTATCCTACATTGTTGGTTATCACCATAAGTCAAACCATTACTTCAACTTGTTATCAGTTATTTGTCTGCACCACTACGTTCTTCGCTGCACTTGGTCACTTGTCTTATTATCTATCCACCGCACTACTACACCATGTCCACTATATTGCTTTCGGAGGTAAGCATTTTTTTATAACCTAAACTATTGGGTTGATGAATGTTTATTTGAAAATTAGTAGCATCTATACATTATTTGTTGTTTATTATTGATTTATACGTATATCTCTTTAATATATGAATTTTTGACTTCTTTCTTTTAAATTAATTTACAATATGGAATCCAAAACAATACATCAAAATGTCAATATAAATTGTATTAGTGATGACTTTATTATTAATGAAAAATCTAATAAACTAATTTCAGTTAATAACGAATATATTAATGTTAAAAAAGAAATGAAGAAATCATAAGTTTTTCCATTTGAAATTTCTAATTAACCAGATTATAAAATTTCTTGCTCACTAAAAATTGCACGGGTTGCAGTGGTCAGCCAGGTGACTTTGACAACCATAATTATAACAATGGTTAGAATAAAATAATATATATTTAATTATAATAAAAAGCAGAAGGTATAATGTTAGTGTGAGGAGGTACCTAAAATATCGGAAGCCATGTCTCTGAAGCGTAGCTGCCGCTTACCCATCTGGGCGTGGTGTTCAAGAACCCTAGAAATTAAATTATATGAATAGAATGTGACGAATGCTCCAATCACCAAGCTTAAGATCCCAGCCGTCCATCCAAGGAAGGTGAATGCGTAAGGGAGACTAAGGAGAGGTGGTGCCACAATCGAAGTCGTCAAGTGGTACCCACAATGCACCCAAGAACCTACAAAACCACTCCAATATAATATATAATAATAATATTAATATTAATATTAACAACATCAATTTTTTAAAATCATGTGTACAACAATATTTTCTTGTCTTAATGCTTCTTGTACCTCCCATGTGCTCTAGTTTTTCAAAACCAGACAGTCAACCAACACGCAATTTCCTACGGCCTTTTCTTCATCCAAGTCGGCTCCCAAATCCAAACGATGAAACCATGAAATCACTGAACGCGACTTTTCTCCACTTAATTATCATTATTCTTTTCCATAATAAAGTTGAATGAATATATAGTTCATACCACTTTATTCTAAAATAAATTTTACTTTATGTAATTAGATTAGTACCAGAAAAAGTCTTAAAATACGAACAAGTTATGTATTAATCATAATTACTTATTATCGTATTAATATTAAATAGCTTTTTAAAATAAAGAATGTATTGAAAATTACATTAGAAATATAATAATATATGTATAACCAGATATTTAGAATCGATTTTGTAAGATTAATTAGATACGTGATTATTTGTTACATGACGTTCTTTTCGACGGTGGTGTTGACGTTGCTATTGAACTTATTGTGAAGATGGAAAGCTGCAGGGAGAAAAGGAAAAGAAAGAAGGAGAAGAATCCTATGGCTCTAGCTAGTGTTCCATAAAAGACTAAGCACACAAGAAGAAGAAGAAGAAGGGGATTTTAAGAACTATATATAACATAAATAAATGATTATTACGCACCTTTGGATTTGAGGACAAAGAGGGCTCCTGCATCAGCATCATTTTGGTGGTGAAGTTGTTCTACACCATTATTTGGATTTTCTGATTTTTCATCTGCAAGCAGAGTACCCATGCTCTCTCTTCTGAATAAAGAATAGATTGATCGAAAGCAGAATATGGAACAGCCTCTGCATATAGCACACAGAACCTCGCAGTGATTTTGCAGAAAAGCAGCGTCAATCTTCAGTGATGTTACTTTTATACACGCCTTCTGCAATATGCAACCGGCCAAGTTGGAGATGCAGAATATTTGTACTGTCACCTAAGCCTAATTCAGATGATGACCAAAATGGCCTCACTCTACATACTTGATATTTGGAGGAATACGACACACCCTTTCTCTGCATTCGTCAAATTTATGACAGCTTTTTGTTAAAGAATATTATCAGAATTTCATTAAGCATGTGTTTCGTGTTGCTTTTTCTATTTTAGCTTTTTTCTAAAATCATCATCAATATTATATATATTAATAAAGTTGATGAAAGGAAATTAATTTATTTTAAAAAATTAAATAATACTAAAAATAGTAATAAAATGGAAAAAGTATTTAACCGAAAATTTATAAAATGATTATTCACTTTCAGACCACCTCCCATAAAAATATTAAAACCTTGATATTAATATTAATTGTAGTGGCTTTTGCTTGAATATTTACCGTTACAACATATGAAGTGTTAAAACATTCTTGCTTAGAAAAACCAAGATAAAAATTACACCGAAGATAACTTTAAAATTAAATAAAAATATTAATACGTGTAATTAGAAATAAATGTTGATCTCATGTTCAAAACAACAACCATGACGTTTGTAAAAAAAATTGGATCAGATGAAAAAATCAAACCACTAAACTAAACCGAACAAATATTAAATTGACAAATAAAAAATATTTTAATTTAAAATATATATATATATATATATATATATATATATATATATATATATATAATTTGATTCAAGACTCAATTTAACCAAAAATTTTATAACAATATAATATTTAATAAATTAAATTATGAATCTTTCATTCAAATAATTTTTTAATAATAATATGAATTGTTATTATCTGACGTGTAAATAAATAAACATATATCTTTTATATACGTAAAAAATTTATTGCTTAACGAGACTCGCTTGCTTGTCTAACTCATATAAGAATTGATATCACTCTTAACCATAAACTTTAAGGTATTAAGTTATGGAAAACTCAATTCACATAAGGATTGATCTTATATATTACTCAACTTTTGCATTCATACCCAATGTGGAACTTAGAATCATCCTCTTGAGTCAATCATATAAGAGAATATGTCATCACCTTGAATCATCCTCTTGAGTCAATCATATAAGAGAATATGACATCACCTTCAACCTAAAATCTTAAAGCATTTATGAGGAGACTAACAACAGGGAGATTCTCACAAATGGGTTATGAACCAATTATATAAGAGAATATGACACAACCTTCAACCTAAATTTTTAAAGCATTAGGTTATGAGTCTTTCTCACTTATAATTTACTCAATTTTCTCATTTTTACTCAATGTGAGACTTCAAACTTATACTTAAATTTTAATATATATATATATATATATATATATATATATATATATATGATTGTGGAAACATGATAATATTTATTTCATTAAAAAGGAAAAAAAATTACACAAAAATCGTATTATTATGTTAAATTTGTAGTTAAAGTTTTTATCTGTTAAGTTTCATAATTAAGAGATATTTTGGAATCCAAAATAGAAGTCACATTTTTAATTAATGCTCTTTATATTATTTCCTAATTTTAAAAAATTGATATATTGATCTAAAGAGATTCGTTATCAACTAATTAAATAGTGTCTAAGGGATAACTTAAAAAAAAAATCGTAGTATGATGATTTAAAATAAATTGTATATATTTATAATAATATATTTTAACTTATTATTCTTAATAAAAAAAGAGAGAGTAAATTTTAGTGACTCATTTTGATACACGAGTAAGATTTCATTTTATGGAGATACGAATAACTATAAGTCAAAAGTACGAAATAGTCAAAGAAGGACAAAAAAATCAAACTTTTATTGGAACAAATGGTCCAAAGAAAAAGAAAGCTACCAAATAGTCTTTATATATATATATATATATATATATATATATATATATATATATATATATATATATATATATATATATATATATATATATTTTTTTTTTTTTATTCTTTTTTTCTATCATAGCATTGTTCGGCCATTGATTCCTCCCATAGCATATTGAGCCTAATGTTTATATATATAGCATTATTTGCTTTTCACGTCCGAATTCAGTATTTTAGAGGTGAATACTTAACTTCAATTTGTGCAAATTTGATTTAAGGTTTTAGGGTTTTTCATTTTAAATTTTTAATAAAACAGGAGAAGAAAAAAAACAATATAAGGAAAATTATAAGAATAATATTTATTTAATTATAATTTTGGTGTAAAAAATACAAAAATACAAATAAATAATAAGATTATATAATGAAAATTATTTGAGGTATTTATTGTAAAATTAAAATTGAGAAATATAATATAATTTCATTGATTAATAAAAATTTATTTAAAAGGAAGTAAGTAGTTGAAAATTAGTAAAACAAAAATAAAGAATAAGATGATTTGAGAAAATTTATTTGAATAAAAATTTGTTAAATTTTAAATTATGGTAGTTTATTATATTGAATTAACTAAATGTAAACAATAAATTTGTTGTATTTAATGTTTTTTATATTTAATTATTTATATTTGAAGAGGAAATTTTTTATTTAATTTTTTTGTATTTAATTTTTATATATATATATATATATATATATATATATATTAATAATGTAATGTATTGAATTTTAGAAAGAAATAAGGTAAGAGTATTAATAGTAGAATAAATTTTAAGATATTTGAATATTTATTTAAAGAAAAAATAAAAATTTACAAAATAATTGTAAACGAAATACATGTAATTGGATGAATATTAATTAAATTAAATTAAAATAAAATAGATATATGATTATAAAAATCTAGATCTTTTAATATTGTTGTGATTTTTGTTTGTATGAATAGTTTAATAGTGTCTTATAAATGTTCATGTTGCACGGTTGGATATAGAAGTTGATTTTTTATTTTTTTTAATGCTAGATTATTTGTGCATTAGTATTAGATTTAATTTAAACTGAATCATGCATAATTTAATTAATAACCATTTTTACTGGATGATGATGGTTGATTTCTATGATTTGTTTGTAGTCTCCACACTATATAAGTTGGGTTGTATATGTTAGATTGAAATTGTTTTTGGATTGTCATATTTGTAGGTAAGATTGAAACTATATGGGTTTTCCATTTTCCATTATCGTAGCCATTTGAATATGTCCTCTAAAGTAAATTATTGCTTATTTGGAAGAAACAGGGTTTGGATTTATGGAAGAGGTTGCAGGTATATACAATTCAATAATTGTATTGATAAAAAATTGAGAGTCACAATTTATCATTTTATACACATCAAAATCTATTGATATTTGAGTCACATCATTTGTAATCACACCATCCTCGTTCATTTTTTGTTGTCAAAAGTACAACTTCTTAGATGATGTATTGTTTGAAAGTTTCAAAATTGAACAAACTTTCTCCTTCGGAAGAGTGAAGGTGCAGTTGTATGATTTCTAAATCAATTTTAGAGTTGCACATTAAAATTGCACTCCTTCATATTGGTTGATTTTGTCATTTGCAAGTAAACCACCTATATAGGAATTGGAATAATTTTCCTCCTTAATGATGCTAAAGTGTTCCATTTGAAGATGATGAAATAAAATCTTTGTTGTTTAGAGAGAGTGGAGTTCAATTGAGTTTGTTACGAGACGAATTTTTGTAGTTTAGAATTTAAGTGTGGTGTATGATGTATTTTATAGAGTTAAATTGTCTTCTATGTTATTTGAGATTAACAAGTGTATGTGCAAGGTAAATGTTAATGTAGATGTCAAGGTCTCATGCGACCTCTCTCTAGCACATGCTCCTAATAAAGTTGTTAAGTCTTGTTTGTGTGAGAGAATTCATGTTGGATTATTGACATGTGTCTTGAATCATCTTATTCACTTAATGCATATCAAGATAACGTTTCATCCAAGGTTGAAAGCATTGAGGGGGAAATTAATGGAAATGTTCCTACATTCCCAAAATATAATTTTGATGATGATTCAAGTCAACACCATTCAAGATGAATTAAGGACAAGTTGAATTTATGACGTTGGTGAAAATGTGAAACATTTCCCTACATGCCCAAGATATGTTTTTGATAAAGATGATGATTCAAGCAAGCCCAAGACGATTCCTGAAGACTAGATAGAGTCTTAGAATACTGGATATAGAGGTACAAGTTGATGAACTAATATTATGCATAAGCCTCCAAAGCACAAGTGTGATAAAATTCATAACATGTTTCTCTTTCATAATCAATTATGATGCATCAGAAATGGAAAAATAATTTTCTCTGTCATAATTGATTATACTGGTAATATAATCAATTATGGCAATTCAAATTTGAAAAATATATCTGTTTTAAAGAATTAATGTTTTTGAATACATCCTCATTTTCTTTATGATATTATTAATGTCCAACGACCATTTTCTGATGTTATTTTTCTATTTAATTAAGTTTTGATGAAAAATAAAAAACACACAATTACATAATTCGAAAATACAATTTACATTCAATCAGTTTTGAGAAAAGAATTCTGAGCAAGACAACAAAGATATTTTACACCTTTCGAGAAAACCCTCTTCTCTACTGTCTTCTGTGCTTTCATTGTTAATCACACTTGTTCTTGGAGATTGACATTCTACATGCTTCTACAATTTGTTGTCTCCATTACCCAGGTGTGTCTGTTCTTATTTTTATTACCTTCATCCTTTTTGTATTGGTCAAAAGGAGGTGTTTTTCATCCCTAGTGTGATTCTAGGGAGGTGTTCATCCTTAGTGGGATTCTAAGGAGGTGTTTTCATCCTTTGATTTGTTCAGAGGAGGTGTTCATCCCTAGTGAGATTTTAGGGAGGTGTTCATCCTTAGTGGGTTTCTAAGGAGGTGATTGTCTTTTTAATTAGTTTACTTTTTACTGGTTCTTTTGCTGAGTTGATTGTAATTTGTAAACTGAATTTGAAAGATAGTGAATGGGGAGTCACTCTTGTGTTAAGGGTTGATTGGGAACTAGATGTAGGGTTGGCTATACTCGAACCAGTATAAATATTTGTGTGCTCTTCTCTTTCCCTTATCTCTTTCTCTTTTCCTGATTATATTATCGCTTTTATTTTATCTGTGTTCAAACAAATTATTGACTCAA